ATTACTCGGAGATTTCAATCTACCCAATATTGTCTGGTCCAATCCGTCTTGTCCGGTTGGTTCAGATACGTTATCCTCGACGTTCTGCTCCATATTTCAAGATTATTTTTTCCATCAGATGGTCTTGAATCCTACAAGGGGCAACAATATTTTGGATTTGGTGTTATCTACGGCTCCTGATCTGTTGTTTGACCTTAGTGTTAATGAAGGACTTGGCAGCTCTGATCATAGTTCCATTGAATTTAACTTGAGGCTCAAGGTCTTAAGACCTAAGCAAAGTCCTAGGATTGTTTATAGCTTTGGCTCTGCCAATTGGAATAATCTACGAGATGATTTCTCAAATATACCTTGGAATACTGTTTTCTTAATGGATGATATAAATGATGTTTGGGATGCTTGGAAAGCTCTGTTTATGGAGGCAGTTGAACGTAATATTCCAACAAAGTCACTGAAGCATAAAAGGAATGCACCATGGTTTAATTCTGAATTAAGAATCCTAGTTTTGAAGAAACGGCGTTTGTGGAGGAAAGCAAAATCCTCAAGGGACCCTGTTAAATTGGCTCAATACAAGTCCTTTAGCAATAAGGTGAAGGATAGTTTGAACAAAGCGTACCGGAATTATGTTGCTAATCTAACAGCATCCTTGCCCTCCAAGCCGAAAAAATTTTGGTCCTTTGTAAAATCACGCACTGGTAATGCTAGTATTCCCAGCTGTGTTCAATATGATGGTCAGTCTTCCTTTACGCCAAAAGGGAAAGCTGATTTGTTCAATAAATTTTTTCATAGTGTATTTAGTGAAAGATCTGGAGAGATGGCTTATGAGGATTTTACACCTTTCACTGAGGACACAGTTGATGTCTTGTTATGTTCGGTGGCTGATGTTTATAAAGTTCTTAGTTCCCTTGATGTAAACAAGGCGATTGGTCCTGATGCAATTTCACCTAGAATTCTGAAGGAATGTGCTGCTGAGTTGGCACCATCAATATCACAGCTGTTCAATTTTTCATTAAATCATGGCAAGTTACCAAGTGTCTGGAAATCTGCCAATGTTGTTCCAATCCATAAATCTGGTGAACGAACTTTGGCTGAAAATTATAGACCAGTTTCTCTTACAAGTATTTTAGTGAAGTGTTTGGAGCGTATCATCCATAAACATATTATGAAGTTCTTAACACATCATGGGCTGCTGAGTGAGAGCCAGCATGGTTTTAGAGAAGCTCGTTCATGTGTCACTCAACTTCTTCAGCTGCTACACTCATGGTACAGTTCTCTTGAGAAAGGTGACTCAGTCGACGTGATCTTTCTGGACTTTGCAAAAGCCTTTGACAAGGTTTCTCACCATCACTTGCTTTATAAGTTGCAGTGTTATGGCATTCGGGGTCATTTGTTTTCCTGGTTTCATGACTATCTGTCAGACCGTACACAAAGAGTCATTATTGGAGGTCATTCATCAGAATGGATGGAGGTGTCCTCTGGTGTTCCTCAAGGGAGTATATTAGGGCCACTTCTTTTCCTGCTGTATATAAATGACTTCCCCCTTAGTGTAAGCTGTAGCACAGAGCTTTTTGCTGATGACAGTGTACTCTATCGTAAGATCGCATCTGTAGATGATTGTGTCGAGTTTCAAGATGACCTCTTGTCTGCCGCCTCCTGGTGTGACTTGTGGAAGGTCAAGCTGAAGTCGGAAAAGTGTAAGGCTCTACATGTTACCAAGTCCAATTGTCCTTTAGTTCATCAGTATGTGTTAAATGATAATAATCTGTCGGCTGTTGATAAACATAAGCACTTGGGCATTTGGATTGAATCTTCTTTAAGGTGGGACGCTCATATCAATTACATTGTTGGTAAGGCAAATCGAGTATTGGGTCTAATAAGGAGAACGTTTGGATCTAAGGATCCTGTGCCAATCAAAACAGCTTTTATCGCTTTAGTTCGTCCTATTCTGGAATATGCCTGCCCAGTGTGGAATCCATATTTGGTTAAACACATACACAGTATTGAATCCATTCAGCGTCGTGCTACTCGATTGATATGTGGATCTCATAATTCTTACACTGAAAGGCTCACTGAACTAAACTGGTCAACATTGGAGCTAAGAAGAAAATACCTTTGCCTCGTTCAACTTTACAAGATAATTCATGGCTATTCTGATATTGATTATACCACATACGTGGATCTGACTGGCCCGACAAGAACTAGGAGAAACCATGACTTTAAAATCAGGCCTAGAGCAGCAAGGACAAACTATTTTAAATTTTCATTTTTTAATCGTTATGTTAATGACTGGAACTCTTTACCAAACTCCGTTATGTCTGCTTCCAGCTTGAACTCTTTTAAAACTTTATTACTTAATTATCTTTGTAAATAGTCATATCTTTATTATTTCCTACTGAATCTGGATTTTCTTTTTTATTTAATATCTAAGTATTAGTATTTTATCTAAGTATTAGTATTTTATTTAATATCTAAGTAGTTTATTAAAGAAAAGGGGAAGGGGAGAGGGAAAAAACGAAAACAAAACAAAACAACTAAATTTTGTTTTCTTTGTTTGTTTGTTTGTTTTTGTTTTTTTTTCTCTTAGTATCACATGATGTATAGTTATGTATAAGTTTTCTATTCTTAATTTTTTTATCTTTTCGTTTTGGAGGGCAGTTTTTATATGGGAATTCAGTTTCCCCCTACTGCTTTCCTTTACCTATTGTACTTTTATATATGTATATATATTTTTATTTTGTACATTGGTAAAAAGAATTATTAAACTTAAACTTAAACTTAATATGTGGATGGAAAAAGACAGGTGCCCAAGGAATTAAGGAAAGTTCGGAGTCAGCATGAGAATCAATTTTTAGAAGATCAATGTTAAAATCACCCATAAATAAACAAAACTTATTTTTTAGGCTGATTATAAAAATCAGTTTCAAGCCATAGGGCTTCAAAGTCATGAGTAGATTTTGTAAATTCTGTTATAGTAATGTACTTAAAATCATTCTTAATGTAGAAAGCAACGCAATATCCTTATAAGTTAACATTAACGAGCAAATCTTTACCATGAGAGATCTTTGTTTCAGATAATCCAGTCAGAGGGAAAGAATGATTTAACTCAGATACATATGTAACCCAGATATATATGTAACATATGAATAAGATTGTCATGGTTAGCTGACAAACTTCTTATGTTGCAATGCATCTCTGAGTATGCCTTATGATTTGATAAGCACTCAATTATATTATTGCTACTGTGAAAGTCATGTGGTGTATAGTAACCAAAATTCGTATCTGAAGGCATATGTAAATCAAAATCAACATTCGAAAGGTGAGGAATATTTGATACTGGAGAGACGATATCAAGAACAGGTAAACACCCTAACTCAGCAAACCTTTCCTCACTAAACTCATTGACATTAGCTACACTGGGAAAAACGGTTTTGTAATAGTCAAAATTTAAATAAAGAGTTTTCAGCTCCACTTTGTGTATATGTGTGTTTTGTTAAAATATGTTGTGGTTCAATTTTATCCTTGGTTTAAGTTTTCTTTTCTTTTGTTTTTGGGTATGGTAATGTATGATAATGAGTTTGAGACAAAAGAATATAAAATTCAAACCAAGGATAAAATTGAACCACAACATATATATGTATATCTAAATATCCGATTTTTAGCGCTGAATAGAATACATAAGCCGTTTCTCGCGTTGCCAGATGATCGCTCCTCTTATTCCTATTTTTTTTAAATAGACAGTCCCATTATGGCTCTTGACGGTCGGACAAAACGGGCTAAAGTTACTTAACGGGCAAGTCTAGGCAACCTTATTGTGCCTATTGTAGTAGAGAAACGCTCATAGATAAGGAGGAACCCACTTATTAGTATGGAGGAACGCCTTTTTTTGCGAGGAAATCCTGCATATGTAATGAAGGGAATCCACTTTTTGCGAGGGAATCCACCAAAACGGCGTAAAAACAACATGGTATATGCGGCTTACGTTTACATCTATGCGATTTCGTGGAATGAGAACGGGGAATAAAACGGGGAACTAGAGCTGTTATGTTCAGTATGGCTTTTTTTATTTAACAATTTTGTGTTTTGGACTTCCAAGTTACAATAACCCAGCTTAGGGTTTTCCACAAGTTGCTGGAGATTTTCCAAAAAGTTTCCCGCGATTTGCAAGTTGCTCCAAAAAACAACAACTTTTTTTGGTCTGATTTTAAAATAAGCAAATCGTACAATAAAAGTAAGATTTTGAAGCATTTTTGTGCAATTTTGCGCCGTAACCAGCGTTGCTAAACAACTTTGTCCTCAATTAATACCAAAAAAAGAGCCAATAACATTGTTGATTGAAATTCCTTATTCGAGACACCCAAGTTAATCGAGTGTGAATCTTCGTCCACTATTTTGGATTTTCTCTAAAAACCGCTAACCTAGAAGCCCAGCTGGAAGGATTTGGCTCCTTTTTCTACAGAAAATTCATAAATCGTCTACTAAAACATTGTGAAATATGGAAGAAAGGCCAATTTAAGCACTAAAAGCTGCTCGATATCCCAGAATTAGAAGATAACTAGAGACATTCCTCAGAATGCAAAAAGTTGATCAAAGTTACCAAAAAGTTGCCGAGCAACTTGTGGAAAGCCCCAGCCCAGCTCTGCACCAGCAACGGACAGCAAGCGGAGTAAAGTAAAAAATTAAAAGCTAAACTGGTTCAGCCGGTTACTGTAGTTCTAGCCATAGTTACGAGATGTTGACGTCATAAAGATTAATTGATGTTGCCAAGGTGGGGGTTTGAGTAAGCGTGCACGTCCCGTAAGTCCTTAAACAAGGAAAGGGTAAAAACGACAAAACGTAGAACAAAGCACAGTAGGAAATATGCAATCAAATCTTGGAGCCATATTTTTTACTTAGATTGTTACGTTCCCCCCTTTTCGTATATTTCCTTTCCTACCCCTTCGGTTTGGCAAGATTTTTTAATAAACCTAAACCTAAACCTTTTCTCATTATAGCCTGCAGAAAGGATGCTTCCTCCGAGAAAGGTGCAATCCCTAAATCAGTGTGATTGCAGTTGCACATCAGAGAGTGCCTGTCGTCCAGGTCAAGGTAGATATAACTTCTAAAATGGCGAAAACCAACTTGCCTTAACTCCATTACCCGTTTACCTGTTATACCAAAATTAACGTATAAGATCTGTTGATTTCCTAGATTCCTACGACAGGCTTCCTATTTCATGCAAAGAAATCTGGAAAAAAACTAAGTATGTAACAATAGTTAACATTTTTTTATTGAGACAACTTAGGATGGTATATTCATTTGACTTCATGTCTCAGTGAGAGTAATATAAGACCACTTCCTCATTTGACAGCTTTAAATGTTATTCTTCTGTGTAATGTGACACACGCCTTTTTGGAGGTTTAAATTTTATAAAATAAGCATAAAGAAGACTCGGACGCCAAAATTGAAACTCTGCGAATTCATCGTATTTTCATCTCAAAACTTTAGAAAACTTGAAACTGGCCTGAGGGAAATAAGCTACTAAGGCAAACTACTTCGACTTCGCATTCTAGAGTCTGTGGTTGTTCTCAATATGGCCTACACTTTAATACTTTAGGGATACTCCTAAAACAGTGTGCACTATACTAGGAGATAAAAATATATAAATAAAAAAATAAATAATAATTATGGATAAAAGAAGAATTTACATGTCAAATCTAAAATAGATATGTACATTATAAAATTACTGTTTTTAAGATTTTATCGACACAAAAATTTAGTACTATAAAAAACCTAATCATGCAACTTATTGTGGGCATTATACCATTAGTGAAAGGAAAAATGTTAGTAGTTACGGGTAACTTATTCCAGGCTTCTAGTGAACTTGGTTAGAACGAATATTTAGAAACGTTACAACTGAATTGAATGTGACGAAAAGGGAATGCATTGTGGCTCGAGAAGCCCTTGTTAAGGGACATACTTCAGATGGAAGGGAGATACCAACTAAACCTTGTTGGATTTTATAAAACATTGATAATTGGTACGAAAGTCTGCGTCGTTGAGCGGGTCCCAACCAAGCTGTTTTAGCATGGGAGTAACATGACTAAAATTTGAGTAGTCTCTAAAAACGAACCTTGCTGCTTTATACTGAATTAGTTCGATTTGGTGAATATTCCGTTTAGTATACGGATTCCACACAGAGCACGCATACTGTAGTTGAGGACGCACAAAGATAGTGTATGCCTTAGATTTGACATCCGTGGAACAATCCGGCAAGACCAACTGTTCTATTAGCCTTACTAGAAATGTTATCACAATGTTGACAGATATTTTATCATTAAATTTGTGCATGATCGTTTCATGCTTCTTTCCCTCAATTCTGTGCCCTCGCCTAATTCACAATGCGCGTTTGATGTCAGTGGTGTGTTAGTAGAGTTGTTTCGATAATCTTTGAAAGCTTCCTGTTCATATAGATAGTCTTGCCCCTGTTGATATAACAAACCTTTTATCAAAGTCACCGAACATGTAAAACAACGATAATCAATTGATCTCGAGACTTCATACGACATACACGACACGTATTTTAAGCTGTTATAGTGTAACTGTGATAGGAAGTACTCTAAGAGTACATAAAATGTGAGCTTTGGGGTTATTGTGCATCGAGACGAATCGTTTAAACTAAAAACTAATTAAGTTAGTGAAATTAGCAGTATAAGTTATATGTAGACAAATGAATTATTTAGTGTTTTATACTTCCTAGTGCCTTACCCAGGGACTATGAAAATCGATTTGCTGTAGTCTAGAATAAAATGTCGTGAACAGAGAACGGGATGATTTCTTCAAAAAAACGGGATGATTTTCATCCAGGGAACAATGAGATAAATCATTAAGTCACGTCACAGCAAACAATCTGATAAAGACCTTTCGATATATTTACATTGTTTGAATCACGTTCCGAATAAATCAACCTGTGTGTGATCTTAAACATTTTTCGCATTTCATTGCATTGACCTTTCAGTACCCGTGTTGATGGAATCTTTTACATTCGCACTGGTCTACCATCCCGATATGAGGAAGTGTTCTGTCACATGACACCAATTAACGGATGTGGGGACGGGGGATGGACGCTTGTTATGAAGATCGATGGGCAGAAGGTAAATATATAAAACACTGCATATTTCTTTGATTGAGGTCTTACGGAATGAAAAAAAAGGTTTTCACAATTTGCTAGAAAAAGAGGTAACAGTGGACATTAATTTCTACTTTGGCCCAAAAGGCTCAAACACAAATCAGTTTCCCAAAACATAACTCAGTTTCTCGAACTCAAATCAATCTTCCCAAAACAAAAATCAGTTTCGCAAAACATAAATCAATTTCCCGAAATACAAATCAATCTTCCCAAAACACAAATCAATTTCCCGAAACACAAATTCGTTCCAGTTTCAACAGACTGGTCACTACCTTATTATGACGAGATGGCCTGGAAAGTAGAATGACCAATTCGAGCCCAAGGTCGTGCGCATCCAATATGGCGACTATCTGTACGGGCTGTATCTTTATTGCTTTAATCAGGTGTTAACGTGAAAAATGTTCTACCAAAGCTGCGGGCAACAAGTTTTAAAAGAATATTTGTTCTGCCCTTCGTGTTAAACCAAACTGGACATTGCTATACCTTTGGTCAGGCTATTATTATCCAAGGCGTCCCAAGCTCACGTTACGAGTGTGAAATGTAAATTTACTTTCTCACAAGAGATTCGGTGTCGCGTTACATATGACCGAGATTAAGATTCACGTTTACGCCAAACGGCAAACGTCAGATTCAAGTTGAGAATTTCTCCGAATAGAAAGTAAGCAGATAAAAACTGTCCAGAAAAATTTTTATGTATAAAACTAGCTTGAAAATACTTATTTTTTAGTTGAAGTAATAAACAGATAACGGCAATTAAGGGAAAACTTGGTCACATGGTACAAATTCGCGTTTGCCGTTTAGCGTAAACGTGAATCTTAACCTCTCTATTGTATGAGAAATTTAAATACTGAGGTCTGCGAACACTAGATATCATTATATTTTACCCTTATGTCTATAAAATAAATAAAGGAGACTTTTTCCTTTTATTTAACAACACTTTATTACAAATTTACATACAAAGGAAAAAAATTTAAAAATAGCAAAGGAAACTGCAAAAATTACAAAATTAGAAGATTATCATTACAAAAATTATCATTACGCCAGCTTATACATAAGAAAAACAAAAAACAATGCTAGACAATGAACAAAGCAAAAGGCTTAACAGACGCAGTACTCGTTGTAAACAGAAAAGCATGCAAATCTATACAAAAGAAATTATCAGTGGCATATGGGAGGGCGGCGAGTAAACAATAGGGCTCTCCAAGGAGGCTCTAGCCTCATACAGGCACCTACTGTCACATATGGCCCTGGAATGATGAAATAACCAGAAAAGTCCAAGCTCCTTCACATGTTTTTATCGTAAAAATGTGTCTAACATAAACCGGCAAACTAAGCCCTAGCTTTGTGAGAGAAATTTTGCATTGTATGACCCATGTTTTGACAGACTAATACCGGTAGTTTATTGCAAGTTGATTATCAGCCTTCATTTCTAAAATACTTAATCCACGAGTTCGCCAGGGGTACCCTTTGATTTTGCTTCTGTCCTACCTGGGTACAGCAATTTGTAGGCCAATGGAGAGCTATAAACAATTTCATTAGCATTATGCATCGAGTGCTAACTTTAATAGCTCCACTCCCATCTGCTGTTCCACCCTTCCTTAGTGGAAGACTTTTTCCTCGTCGGGGCTTGAGCAAATTTTCCTCTTCAATATATGGCATGATGTTCCAATGTTGACGGTTACAGGCAGGTCATCTTTCTCAGTTATCCTCTTAGTTTTCTTGCTCTTTTTTTGAATTGCGACTTTCTCTCATCTTTTTAATTATTTATGAAAGGTGTCCCCGAGGTAGGAAAAGGCTTAGAAAAAATTAAGGTTAAATCAAATGTGGCAATTCCAGCGCTGCAGCACAGTCAGCTCTCCCATTCCTATTGCTGGTCGAATCAAACGTGGAAGAATGAGCTTCAGTGTTATTGGTCGTAGAATTTCCGCACTACGCAAAATTGAATAGTATTCTTCAGTACACTGTTGCAATAAACGCAAAACTTTTTAACAGGAGATAAAGTTACACGAGTCCATGTCGTCGCCATATTGGGCCCGATTTCGTCACTCTACTTTCCAGGCCATCTCGTTCATAACAAGTCGTGCCCAGTCTTTTGAAATTGATTTGTGTTTTGGGAAATTGATTTGTGTATTGGTTAACTGATTTGTGTTTTGGAAAACTGATTTGTGTTTTGGGAAACTGATTTGTGTTTGAGCCTTCTTAGCCACCGTATTTTTTTTCCTCTTAGTGAACTGCTAAATACTTCGTAAACTCGTTCCTTGTTATCTCACAAAGGGTAAATGCGAAAAATGAAACGTTTCTAGAATTATTCCGTTCAGTTTTGAAGTCGTGCAAACGTGGACATGTTCTTTCTTAATGGAAGCAAATGTCATCGATCAGTAAATAGAGAAGTTTCTTTCTGCAATTTGTAGCATGCATTCTGTTTTCTTCTTGTTGCAGAAAACATTCACGTTTGATTCGCGATACTGGACTGACAATGTTACCTACAATGTGGCTGGAGGTACGAGCTTGGAGAAGGTAGAGACAAAACTTAGCACTTACTGGTCTACGCCTTTTACTCGACTCTGCCTTGGAATGAACTACAAAAATGAAGAAGCAAAATGGATCTCGCTTAGCTATTCTGGGTCATCCCTGTGGCACGTGATATCAAACGGAACGTACATACCAACCAATTTAACTGCTGGGGAGTGGAAGAAATTGCTCGTTAATTCCACAATCTGGGTAACTACAACACATACTATTTAATAACGAACAAGAATGAAGGGATTTAAAACTAGTTTATTGTAAACGGTTCATTTCTACAATGTTTTTAAAGTAGCTGTGTTTCGGAGAGGTCCATAAAATTACCCTCCGAAACACAACTGCGGAAATTTTTGTACTGTTATGCATAGTCTTGGTACCCTGTGATATTCGGGGGGCCCAGGGGTAGTTGCCATCTTAATCTTAGGATTGAGTTCAGTTTATATTTTAACATGGTGTCAAAAGTAAAGCACCAATATGGATAAGTTAGAGACTCCGAGTACTCTTGTACTCCCAGGAAATTTAGCGGAAAACTGGCGGCGTTTTAAGCAGTAATTCAGTCAGATTTACGAAGTAGCGTCAGGCGTAGTAAGAAAAGGTGGAAAGGTTCGAGGGATGACCGTGTTGCACGTGGCGGGATCAGAGGCCTTGAAAGTGTACAACACGTTTCAGTAGGTCAGTGACGGCGATGAGAATAAAGTAGATAAAATAATGGAGAAGTTTGAACGGTACTGTATTCCGAGGAAGAACCTAACTTTAGAAAGACATTCATTCCTTTCAAGGAATCAACTTGATGGGAGACGATTGACGCGTACGTGACTGACTTACGTAACAAGGCAGCAAGATTTGAATTCGGTGATTTGAAGGATGAATTGATCCTTGATCGGATCGTTTGTGGTTTAAATGATGACACCGTGAGATCCCGACTTCTAAGAGAAGCAAAACTGACCTTGGAGGGCTGCCTTTATATTTGTCGGGCGACTGAAATAAGTTCTGGGCAGCTCAAGGTTTTGAACGAAGAAAAGGCAGTGCACGTCACGGGTAAGAGATGATGCGTTGTATAGAGGATACAGTCAGAACGATGAGCGAGGGAATGCGAAAGATAGCAAAGCAGGTATGATTTCATGTCAATTCTGAGGATATCGTCACAAATAATGCTTACCACAAGCCTAACCATTTTGCAAGTGTATGCCAGGATAAAAAAAAGGAGGTTCATGCAGTGAACCAAAAAGGTGCCAGTGACGAACAGGCCTTCTTTATTGGTGCTTTAAGTCGCAACAAATGCACAGAGAATGATAAAAGGAGAAGTATTTATCATTCGAGATTGACAATGCAGCTCATTGTAATGTCATCCCAGAAAGCATTTGTAAGGAAATGGGTATTGTTTGTTTCAGTAAAGAAGGGTCAAAAGTTCTTTCCTATTCCGGTCATGAAATAAAAACATTGGGCAAGAGTGATGTGGCAGTTGAGTACAAAGGAAGATATCATGTGATTGCGTTTCGGTGGTTGACGTAGATGTAATACCAGTATTAGGGCTGCAAACTGCCACTGACCTTCAGTTAATTCAGAGATTATATACTGTGGCATCAAGCGGTACACAGGAGACCAAACCAGAAATACTCAGTACCTACGCGGATCAGTTCAGAAGAATTGGAGCACTTCCAGGTGAATATGAGATAAAGATTGATGAAAGTGCAACTCCAGTAGTACACCCACCAAGGCGGATCAAAGTCAAGGCTGAACTATGTCAGACAGGAAGAGATGGGTATTGTCACAACGGTTGAACAACCTACCAAGTGGGTCAACCCAGTCATTGTGGTTCGGAAGCCAAATGGAGATGTCCGTATCTGCCTTGATCCTGTTGATTTGAATAAAGCGGTAAAGAGAGAACATTACCCCTAAAAAATGGTGGAAGAGGTCGCTGCAAGTATGTCAGAAGCAAAAGTTTTCTCAACCCTTGATGCTACATCAGGATTTTACCAGATCAAGTTGGCCGAAGAAAGTACTTGGCTTACTACGTTCAACACACTCTTTGGCAGATTTAAATTTGAGAGGTTGCCATTTGGTCTGGTGTCAGCTCCAGAGGTTTTTCAAAGGGTCGTGTCCGACATGCTTGAGGCCATTGAGAAATGTGAAGTTATTGTTGAAGATTTGCTAGTGTGGGGCAAGAATACAGAGGATCATGATCACGCTCTGAAGCAGGTGTTGAAGAGAGCAACAGAGAATGATTTAAGATTTAAAGAACAAAAGTGCAAGTTTCTAAGGCAGGAAGTTGAATATGTGGGACATGTTTTTGGGACTGATGGCTTGAGACCAAGTTCAGACAGAATTCAGGCCATTTTGAATATGTCAGTTTCACAAGACAAAACAAGCCTACAAAGATTTATGGGTATGGTGAATTACTTGCAAAAGTTCATTCCTAATTTGGCTAGCATTGATAAACCACTTCGTTAGCTGCTGTAAAAGTCAGTGGAGTGGCACTGGATGGAGGCACAGCAGAAAGCGTACGGAGAGCTTATCACCTGTATCACCCCGGTACCTTTTCTTAAGTATTTTGATGTGAATGAAGATGTCATTGTATCTGTTGATGCCTCCTCGAGGGTCTGGGTGCCTGTTTGCTGCAAGGGGACCAACCAGTAGGCTATGCATCAAGATCACTGAACAGTGCCGAGCGAAATTGTGCTCAAATAGAAAAGGAAATGTTGGCTATTTTCTTTGGTACCAGCAAATTTGTTGTGCTAGTGGATTAGTACTCAGAGTACTTTGAATTGACACAGCTCAAAGACAGAACAAATGCCTCTGTCATCAACTGTCTAAAACAGCATATATGAAGACATGGAATACCGGAAGTTCTCCATTCAAATAATGGCCCTGAATTTAGCAGTTTGGAATTTCAACGGTTCGCCAAACAGTATCAATTTCAGCATGTTACTTCATCACCTAGATTTCCTCAGAGCAATGGCTTAGTGGAACGTACTGTACAAACAGCCAAGAAGCTCCTCAAAAAAGCATATGAGGATAACAACGATCCCTATTTAGCAATTCTGGAGTTACGAAATACTCTAATTCCTGGAGTTGGACTTTCTCCCACTCAGTTGCTTATGGGACGTCGCACAAGGAGAATCATTCCAATTAAGAATACCTTGCTAAAGCCAATGGCCTACGACCCCAGTGAAGTTCAGAGAGTGCTGAAAGAAAACCAGCAAGTTCAGAAGAAGGATTTTGATCAACGCTGCAGGTCCCTTGAACCATTAAAACTTGGAGATAGTATCAGGGTGCGACAGATAGGAACCTGGGAACCAGCAGTGTTGTTGGAGAGATCTGACAAAGGCGAACCAAGATCATATATTGTGAAAGTGAATGACCATCATTACATACGAAACCGGAGGGATATTCTGAAGACACAAGAAACCCTATAACATGAAGACTCGTCCAGTGAAGTAGCGGGGGACACCAACAGCAGAGACTCTGTTGCAAACCAACTACCTAATCACCTTGGGGACGAGTCTGATAGTGAACTAACATCAGCCACATCTCCCATTATCAGCAGAGTCAGTGGTTGTGTCATTCGCGTACCCCTGCGTTACTGAGAATGATTTCATTGTTCTGAACGACATTGAACACTGAACATTTTATTTGCAAACTGAAGACACATTTCTAACAGTTAGTTTTCTTTGTTATAGCACTGGCTCACAGTCTTTGCTATATTTGTTATTCAGTTAAGGGCTACAGGGAAAAATGTAATGTTATGCATAGTCTGGGTACCCTGTGATATTCGGAGGGCACACGGGCAGTTGCTATCTTGATCTTATGATTGGGTTCAGTTTGTATCTTAACAATATTTTTGTGCTTTTATGATGTAACATTTTTTTGGAAACTTCTTTCACAGGAAAATTGTACTCAGCAAGGTTTTAACAGCGGCAACGAGAATGCTAGAGCTCGTATTGGTATTGTTGGATACGAATCCCGATGCGGAGCAGCGAATCTGTTCAAGTCCAGAATCGGTTTTGGAGCCTCAGGAAATTGGTATGGAATGAACAACGATAATTCGTGCGGAAACGAATATGAAGCCAAAGTGTCAATAGTGGCTTTTGGCTACATCTTTGTTCAATAGAGAAACATATCCGACGAGAAAAATTCTACATTATTTAGAAAAATAGTTTACTTTACTCTTTTACAAAAGGATTACATAATGAAATCCTTAAAAGTAGGAACAATCTTCGCTGAGGGGAAAAGAGAGGCCGGGATAGTTGCAACTGCCTTACTATCACTACTGGCCGTATTTTCTAAATACACATTTGCCAAGATCTTGTATTGAAAACAGTTTTGTTATTAGGGGATAGTTGCAACTACATTACTATCACTACTGCGCGTATTTTCTAAATACACATTTGCCAAGATCTTATATTGAAAACAGCCTTGTTATTTTTCAACATAAATGTGGCACGAGACTCTGCTTAAATAACTTTCCTAGCCTTGAACATCCTCCGTAACGGCCTCACTGCGGTAAGTCTGTTTCTTCCAGCGTTTGCTATAACGAATAGGTTAAGATAAAAATTGATCATTTTATGAGGTGCTACGCTAGACATTTCTTTTTTAAAAATTCCTGTTAGTAACCCTTACCCACCAAGCGATCTCAGTCATTACCCAGGTGTATTTATGTCTGGGCGTTCTTTAAAATTTTTTGGAACTGCTATTATTGTTTTAATGTTACTTAATAGTTAACTGGTTCAGCGTGTGGTATTGGTTTTAGGGTTAATTCTCCATTCTCAGGCGATGGAGACAATTTGCTTTGCGGGACCATTCATAGCGCATTTTATGATTAGTAGCTACATTCATGGAAAAAGTCTTGGGACGAATTTGTAATTGTGGCGCCTTTCAAAACCTTACATGCCCTCCTACTATACCACCTCATATAAAAGGTTGCACCCATGAATCTGGGGCGAGGAAACGGAATTTGTGAAAAAACTAACAGTGCTTTGTGAAGATATACTGAGAATTACAGGTAATTACGAATGGCGCTAAACTCGTCCCAGGGCTTTTCCCTAGCGACCAGGTTGGAATATTGCATGACCGTGCCAAGGAGGTTTGTCAGGATATAAGTTATAACAGTTATTGGTGCATTACCAAACCTTGCTCATAGTTAATGGTTCTCGATCCTAAACATTTGTAGGTTAAGAGAGAGTCCCCTCATAGGTCCGCTGTTGTGTAGGCCAGCGCTGTGTTTGTCCATGGGTAACCTTTTAACAATAACAACAACTTTATTTTGCAATTCCCATATCTTTTTAAGTTACATTGTATACATATTTACGTTTTTTAGTTAATTTTTAAGATAACGAAAAATATGTATCAATGAAGAAAATGCCTAGAGCAGGGGGGGAGGTGTCTCCAAGGAAATCTGTGGTACAGTTCGCCTCTAGGTATGACGTCACGTCTCGCGTCAGTGACTTTCAAAATGGCAAGCAAAGTGTTCATCGCAGAGACGAATAAACATTTCGATTTTATACTGTTCCGATGTCTTGGATTTGGAGATTTTAAGGTTTCTATTGTCATAGAAAACTAGACTTAACCCTTTTCCAAAATAAAACTCCGGACTTAAGCTTAAAATATGTATTGATCCAAGTGCATGACCAGCAGGGTCAGCAGTAAGAATAAAGAAATCAAAGAGAGACTATCGTCAACTCGTGGGAACGTCGTTTAGAAAATAATTAAATGGTTATCAATTCCGGTTTTCCCACAGTAAATTGTAGGAAATGATAGAAATTCAGATTGTTTATCCATATATTAAATATACCATCTTTTTCCTGGAAACACAATACTTTTCTTGCTGTTTATTGCACTTTATTAAATAAGAGTTATGTATTTAGGTATATATTTAAAGAAAAACAACAAAACAAATAAGCAAAAAAAGACCAAACAAATCAAAACGGGAAAAAAAAAGAAAGGAACGAGCAGGACTCGAGCCCGGCACCTTGTACTCGTTGCAACTTTACCTAACCACTACACGACTAAGGCTGATTACGTCACTTTGGCGAGAAGTTTTATATTTAATGCCTTTTCCACGGAAAATCCACCGGCAAACGCCATTAAAGATGATCGAGCCGCGTAAAACGGCGCTACTGACAGTTAAAAAAAAAACAAAAACAACAACAACCAAAACAGAACGCATTTCATAGCAACATGAATGAAAGAACATACGTTGTATGCTTTACAAAGCCGATACACGTCGTTTGCGAAGTACGATGCAAAACATATGTTTTCTTATCTCGATTTCCGCTGTTACTTTGAAGCTAATCAGTAATGGTCAAAATCACATCCATTTTTGGTTCATACAGGTTCTTAAGAATAGCATGACATGATATCTTCTTACTTTCAGACCTTTCAGATCACTTTCCAGCAAGCTGGAATTTGTATACAGTGTATCCCCCCGTTATTTTGAGAAGTCGTAGAGAAAATGCTCATCTTCTCGTCAATCCAATCCCGAAGTTAACCATCGTACTCATCTGAAAGACTCCTCCGTGTCTTAAATTTGGTAAGACCTCTAACCGTGACGTAAAAAATTTGCCACAAAGAAAACTCTGAGTCTGAGCAGCGAACAATGCACGTTCTCATAAGAATTTGATCACACCGAACTTCGGGGAGCGTGCGCTTCTTCGGAAACGATAGATCTTCGCACTCTCGAATTCGGATTAACCTCGACCCGATGTCCGTCTACTAGAGTGAGCGAGTGACTAATTTGCATATCCTAGTCCCTGCAATAACTCGTGGTACGCTCGCGCGTCCCCACGAGTTAAAAAAGGCCAAAAGGAGAAATAGTATTAAAAAAAGAGACCAAATAGAAAAAAAAAACGGTACAAAGAAACAGGAAATAGGGTCACCGGGAGTCAAACCCAGTTTATCTGCACGTGCAAGCAACTCCTTGACTACTGCACCAAAGTGACACACAATTAATAATTAATTCTGTCATATCAAAACAATTTTTCTCTGCCACAGACGTTGTTTGAAGCTGGTGGAGCTGTATTTATCATGAATTCAAATATACATTTGAGGAAAATTAGCTTAAGCGAGTGTTTCAAAGCTATTTCGCATTATTTCGGTTTCAAAGGGCCGACTCGATGTACATAATCGATCGAACTAGCTTTACTGAATTTGGTGAGAAGAGATCAACAGAGGCCCACACTCGAAAGGAATGATATGAAGTTCAGCCCGTTTAGTTAGCGAAAAAATAGATAAAATATAAACATGTGTGATCTGTGAATGGAACCCCCTATTCTGGAGACTAGACCTTGCCCATTTTAGAGAAAAAATAGATTTAAGTTTTGATGACCTTGCCGGTCCCGTAAAATCGATGGCGATCCCGCAACACGGTCCGCGAAACAAATTAACAAAATTATACGATGACGGGCACAAAATATCAAAACGGTTTACACAAACAGATTAAAGCAACACCAAAGCTCACACACATTTGATCAAATAAGCGATATATAGCGATATTTGCTAGCTTCTTAGGCTTAGCTTTTCCTCGACCTCGCCAGTCCAAATAACTGTCGTATCCCTTGCTAATTTGCACAAGCGACCCAAGGCTCTTGCCCTTTACTATGTGACGTCATACTGCCAGGCGGAGTGGGTCAAGAAACTTAGGTGGAAAACAATAAAGTTACTTTCCCCCCTCTGGCCTAGAGCCTAAATGAATCGAGAGGTTTTCGAGTTAGTCTCTAGACATATAATGTATACATTTGAAATGTAGCTTAATTCACAAAAAGAAAACACATTAAAGGAAGGAAAATAAGAAATAAATAAAAATATAGCAGATGAGCATAAGCTAACGCGTAGCAAGAATGGCTTAGCAAAAAACAAATAACAAACAAAAAGAGCACAGCATAAAGCCGAAAGCATATAGCATACGCCCACAACAATTGAAGGAAGAGGTGCTAGTTGGTGTTAGATGTCAGAAGAAGAACTTTGCTTAATCAACAAGTAATGTTTGACCCTTCTTTAAGAAAGAGGAGTACTTTAATCAATCAATCAATCAATCAATCAGTTTGTTTACGTCAATACGTGGGACGGGGCTGCCCCGATCATCCGAGCCAGATGCTCATGTATGAAACGTATGACAATAAAAGTACTAAATTAATAAAAATAAAATCATTTCAATAAAAATATCAATAAAAATAAAAGGTCAACGTTATACCCTCCCGCATCCCTCTGAATTAATTAAAAACTAAAAACCGTAAGAATAAGTTTAAAACCCTAAGATAAAATAAATAAATAAATAAATCTAAGATATACAAAACTTTCATTTATAGCTGTTTCTTAAGTTTATAAGATTAACAGGTCTTAAATGCTTACGAAATTCGCTCATCTAAGTCGATCTTTTAATGTAAGAAGGAAGCTGATTCGACAAATGCGAAGCCTGGTAAGTGAAAGAATTGTGATTATATCGATTATTATAGGATGGTTGAGTGAGATTGTGATTACTGTTCCTTAAAATGTAGCGTAATATGTAATAACACAACGAACCTTACGTATAAGCGAGTACTAAACTAAAATTTTAATGTATATCAAGGCCCCGAAAGGTTCAAGTGAGAAAATAAATATATACGTATAAAGCAGCACGAGCATATGAAACGTGAACACAGAGCGAGAATATTTACAATATTATAACACCCTCCCTTTTATAGAAAAAAAACTTGAAAGTAGACTGCGAGCAGTGTCTTGTTTTTCTTTGCAAAGTTACTGCACACGAAACCTAAGCACGCGAGGAGCGAGAAACGAGGGCGGAAGCCCGAGAAGAAAAAATAAGAGACTGCTGATTCTTTTGTTTTGTCTGGGGACAACGAATCTGTCAAGGTAATTTAATTAATCAATTAAACCCGAGTAACTTGAAACGATTTATAAAAAGAACATTAACAACTGGAAAAATTACAATTTCTTTAAATCCGGTAGGATTGCCTCGAATTCGTTCCCCTAGGGAAATTTACCGCAGTTTCCTTCTGTAAGATATCCTTAAAAGTTTTATTACTGAGATTACTGCTTGGTTTGCTATTGTTTGGAGTTGGTTGTGACGCGTGACTATTTTTATTGCTTGCAATCTTACCACAGACCAGTCAATTA